CCGATATATTGAATACCATGGATTTGTGTAAGTAATTTGAAAGTCCCAGCCACTTTTACCCTCAGTAACTCGAAAGTTTGGATATCTTGCATTTTTCGTCAGTGCCATCGAGTTCAAGATAACGAGGCTTGACTTATTTCCAATAATAAATTTATTATCAGTCTGTAATAAAAGATTGTAATGAAGTAAAATTTGATTTTAAAAGTTTTTTTTAAAGGAGTTTCAGACAGAATATTTTTCTGTTAAGAAAAAAGAGGAATAAATCACCCAAACTTCATTTTTTCCCCTGCTTGGTCACGAGGGTGAAACCTGATTGCACATCTGTAAGATACCTCAAAAACTGAAATGGCTTAAAATTTTAGAGAATTTGTGGAAACCAGAGGTTTTTGAAAAAATAAAGACAAAAAATGTCGCTTTTTCAGCCCCATTTCCCCACTGATTTGACCTCTAGGGTGAAAACAAAAATTTGGAAATCTTATTCCACATCTACAATAGCACCAATAAATTTCTAACAACCTAGCAAAAAAAAATTCTTGTCCCATAAAGTGACAATAAAAAAATTGTAATTAACCAATAACAAATAAAATTCAGTACTGTTTGAAAGATAAAGTCTTTAACAAACAGCTCCCTGAGAGGACTATCGTTAACATTTCTTTACTGTTTCGTTGGAGCTCCATAGGGGTACGGATTAGTCGGTGGCGTGTATCCCTGCTGCTCTCCAGGGTAAGGGGGTGGGGGGTCCTGAGAGGGGTAGGTCGCATCCTGAGGGGAGTAAACCTGTAGAGGTGGAGCTGTAGGTTGTGGGTAGTATCCAGGAGCTGTCCCTGGCTGTTGGTAGTAAGGTGTTGAGGTTGAGGTTTGTTGTGGGGGTGCTGTGTACTAAAAAAAGGCATCAGTAGTTTAACCAGAGTTGCATATAAATATTAGAAATATCATTTTTACAAAGCACAGAGATATAATCTTGCATTTAATAAACATACATGTCATAGGCTTCGGAAGCAAATTGAAAGGGGGGGGGGGGGCTAAACTAACAAAAAAGTTTTGAGGCCAAATGGTGGGGCTAAGCCCTAATTTTCAATGCCTATCTTTGCGAAAAAGGGGGATGGATGTACTTGAAATGTATGTTCAAGTAAATTATTTTTTCAATCTGCATATAATCTTTATTCTTGTACCTTGGACACCCTGCTACACATATTTTTTAAATGCATAATTTTATTTGTGGTAATTTTTTTTCAATTTTTCTAAAAAGGCATACGCTTTGTGAGAAAATGCAATATAAGCACTGGTGTAATTTACCTTGTTAGCATCTCTAGAATTTTGTCGATTTTGGAAGTGCTTTCTGAGACAGAAGACTGCGACACCAATCAAAACCACAACAGCGATGACGCCAATGACAACACCAGCTATCCAGGTTGTCGTCTTGGTGACCTCACACTCATCTGTATAATCACCACACTGTTGGTAACCATCACATTTGTTACCTCCGGCTATACACTGTCCTCGGACACATCGGTACTCTGAGTCATAGCAAGCACCTGGTGATAAAAGTACCTTAAATGTTCAGCAATTATATCAAAACTAATTAATTAATTCAATAAAATTAACTGGAAGGTATTGGGCATTAGGAAGGCGAATTAACATGGAATGGGGGATGGGGTTCGAACTGATTTAACATAAAAATCAGTTTTTGACCTACATCTTAATATTCGTTTTTTTTCACCATTAATTTTTAGCATCATTTGAAAGAAAACAGGAAAACAAAGCCGCATTCCTTTAAAAGCATTTTTTACTCCAAATAAAAGTTTTATTTCTAAAGTATAACCACCAAAGCCATTGGAAAAACATGCTTTTGGGGGGGGGGGATTCATTATTTATACATTTCATGCATTATTGCTAGAATTGATTTCTTTTACAAGCCCACAAGCGCCCCCCCCCCCCCCCCCCCCCCATTTTCAGAAGCAGGTCTGTAGCTCATTGGTCTAATATAAAGAAAAAAGAAAGATGGGGATGGAGGACCACACACTATGGTCGTCCATTCCATTGAGCTACAGACCCGCCCCTATCTCCTCCACCATCACCTCCATAAAGATGGGTACAACCCGGGTTACTTTGTCATTATTTTAACTTTGACACAGTTTGTGATTTAAATGTCAAAATTGCGCTTAGAAAATTTGAAATGAGCAGGTTCTGATTTCATTATTTTGCTGCCACTGCCACCCCCTTTGCGATGCCCTTGATATACAATAAATTTACCTGAATGGAATGGTGTTAAAAGGAGTTTGAACCCATCGTCAGCAACCAATGAGTTAGATACAAATCTAAATGTCAATGAATCCCCACTGGACATGTACGCCCCTATAGGCTTGTTCTCCCCACAGTAACTTTTAGCCAGGCCTGTAAAAGAGTAGAAATTCTGTAATAATCTGTCTTGATCTCTTATGCAATAAAACAGCAAATCAAGATGAACTTTGTCAATTGAACTGATAATTTTATTTGGGCATGTATAAATCCATGTACATGTATATATAGTGACAATTTCTTTTCTTTTGGCATCTTATAATAAGCCTAAGTATTAAAATAAAATGTAGAATAAGCAATGTTATTACTTTAGTAGCAATGGAACTGTCCCACTGAAATTAAATAGATCTAGAACACTCTTGAAGATGCATCTGATGCAATTTCTTCAGACCCGTAGGAAGCAATTTCAGTTTGTTTGTTTGTTTAGTTTTTTTTTTTGGGGGGGGGGGGGGGACAACCATACATTTTCAGTTGGGGTCCCGTGCACCCCGGTTCCTACGGCCATGTTCTTGAAATGCTTTTAGATGCTGGCTTTAACAAAATTGAAACCAACATTTATATTAGGATAGGTATGTTTACTGTCATTTTTTCTCTTAGAAAGTAGTTACATAATGTGTACATAAGGTGTATTTCTTTTTGATGTCAATTTTTGTTAAAATATTTATCTTTATTTCAATTTCATTTATTAACTGCTTTGGGTCTAGTTACAAGTAATTCTTTAATTTACTGTAAAATCACTATTTTCGAGGTGTCAAATTTTCATAAGTTGAGAAAATTTCACGTCGTAAGAAATTAAAACATTTTTGTGGGGATATGAATTTGTGGAGCGATTCATTCCACGAAAACAGCGAAATTTAAATCCAATGAAAAATTGTGATTTCACAGTTATCATGGTTCTCTAGTTATACATAATCATATTAAATCCTTGTTTGATTCGATCCTTAAGTTTTAATTTAATTTCCACAGCAATGGCACAGTGTATAATACATGTATGTATGTCAAGTATGATACATTTGGTACTGTGTATATTCTTTATTTTGCTCTCTCTCTCTCTCTCTCTCTCTCTCTCTCTCTCTCTCTCTCTCTCCATTTACAGGCTTCAGAAAAATTCTTCCAAAAAATAAATGATATTTTAAAAAAAAAAATCTTCATAATTGATCATGAATAGTAGGAAAATGTAAGAGTATCTAAATGAAAATTCAAACATAAACTAAAAAAAAATATGAAAACAGAATTAACAAGATATGTTTGTGGAACACTGATGCCCCCGTATGGCAGCTTAGGGCGAACGTTAAAGTTTCTCAAATGCAAGTCAAAATCCAGGCCAAAAGATAAAAAAAATGTTGGTACCCAAAGAAAGGTCTTGTCTCAAGGTATATACCTGTGAAATTTTAAAGCCCTAGCTGCAACTGTTCAAAAGTTATGGCGAAGGTTAAAGTTTTTTAAAAGTAAGTAAAACTTCAAGGTCAAGGTCAAAATTGTTGGTATCCAAAGGAAGGTCTTGTCACAAGGATTACATATGTGAGGTATGAAAGCCCTAGCACCAACCATTCAAAAGTTATGGGGAAGGTTAAAGTTTTTCAAAAGAAGGTCAAACTCCTATGTCAAGGTCAAAGTGGTTGGTATCCAAAGGAAGCTGATGTCATAAGGATTATATATGTGAAGTATGAAAGCCCTAGCATCAACCATTCAAAAGTTATGGTCAAGGTTAAAGCTTTTCAAAAGTAGATCAAACTCCTAGGTCAAGGTCAAAAGGTCAAAGTGATTGGTATCCAAGGGAAGGTCTTGTCACAAGGATTACATATGTGAAGTATGAAAGCCCTAGCTCCAACCATTCAAAAGTTATGGCCAAGGTTAAAGTTTTTCAAAAGTAGGTCAAACTCCTAGGTCAAGGTCAAAGGGTCAAAGTGGTTGATATCTGAGGAAGGTCTTGTCACAAGGAATACACATGTGAAGTTTGAAACCCCAAGCACGAACTGTTCAAAAGTTATGGCCAAGGTTAAAGTTTTTCAAAAGTAGGTCAAACGCCAAGGTCAAGGTCAAAAGGTCAAAGTTGTTGGTATCTAAAGGAAGGCCTTGTCACAAAGAATACACATGTGAAGTTTGAAACCCCAAGCACCAACTGTTCAAAAGTTATGGCCAAGGTTAAAGTCTCATAAAATTTTGCAAAAGTGGGTCAAACTCCAAGGTCAAGGTCAAAAGGTCAAATATGATGGTACCCAAAGAAAGGTCTTGTCACAACAAATACATATGTGAAATATAAAAGTCATAACTCCAACCAATCAAAAGTTATGGGCATGGTTAAAGTTGACAACAGACAAACATATAAACAGACAAACAGGACAAAAACAATATACCCCCGGGATCTTTTGATCCTGGGGCATAAAAATATTGAATGCAAAACATATTCCTATAAAAGTCACTTATACCTGATACTTTGAATGACGAAGTGGAAGGTCCATCATATATGTACAATTGATCACCATCTGGATCACAGCCATAAAATTTGGAGTCCTTGATATCCAGCTTTCTGAATACAATCATGATCCGATTCTTGGTGGTGGTGGTAGAGGAGGGAGTATTTTTCACTGTGAGGGTACAGTCCATATTATTTTTATACCTGCTGTACCTGGTCAGTTCTAGACGAATGGACGGAAGGCCACTTATTGTAAGCGTTTCCCCACATATTGAATCCATGTAATCTGTAAGTTAATAAAAATTACAGTAAATATATACGACATCAGAAACAAAATCTCAATGTTACACTTAAATGCGTTTTTTTTTAAAGTCAAATAATAAAATTGATATGTTATATATTATTTTATATGTCACTCTTTAAGAATTTTTTTTAAATACATATATTTTCAAAGTAGTTTCATAAAAACATTTTTTTTTCTTGTTGAGTGGGGGTCATTTCATCAAAATAAAAAAAAACGATAAAGACAATTATGTATCTCGGTGTAGTCTACTTGCATGCCAAGTTATATTAAAATCAGACCAAACTATAGGAAGAGTAGTGATTTAAAAGTATTTCACCAAATTTTCTATTTTTGGCAACACCGTTCATTGAAATGATACACAGAATTTATATGTATATTAGTGCAGTCTACTTGTGTGCCAAGTTATACTGAAATCATACCAAAATTGTAGGAGGAGTAGTGTTTTGAAAGTATTTCACAGCTATTTCTATTTTTAGTAACCATGGCAACACCGTTCATCGGAACCAAAAACCGATAAATAGAATCATGTATACTAGACTAGTGTATTCTACTTGTGTGCCAAGTTATATTGATATCAGACCAAAACTGTAGGAGGAGCCACATTTTGAAAGATTGTTTACAGACAGACGGACAGACTGTTAGACAGAAGACGGAAACCTTACTATCGCATAAGCTCTTCTGGTCTCTGACAAGTAGAGCTAAAAATCATTTGTATTGTATTCGAGGGATCGTTTATTCGTTTCGTTGAGAAAGATTTCATAAGTCAAGTTTTAAAGCCTGTATCGTGTTGAAAAGTAGCAAGATGTTTTGGGTGTTCAAACCAAACTGGTCTCCTACATGTATATGTGTGTATGCTAGGGGACACCGAACGGCCATTTGATTCTGAAAAGGGAGCACTGGCAGACGGCAAATAAATAATCTGTCCTCAGAAATGTTTAATGGGAAATTATAAATAACTTGACCTTAACTGGTGGTACCTAACATCCCGGGTTTGGGCAGATTTTCTTCTTCTCCTTCTGCTTGTCCCTGGTCATTTTGGAAATAAATATTCTCTCCTGCGAGAGCATGAAAAGAAATAATCTGATTTGATCAAATTTGCCAGCTCCCCCCCCCCCCTTAGGAACATACACACAAATAGGAGCCCAGTTTGTGTTACGCACCCGAAATCAACACGATACAGACTAACAGACTAAAACTTGACCAATGAAATCTTTCGTAACGATACAAATAAAAAATCCTTCGGATACAATACAAATGAAAAATTATCACATACAAGTAAGAAATTATACTAAATGCAAATGGAAAATATAGAATACAAATTAAAGAAGTATACAATAGAAATGAAATTTTACAAGACAAATTGAAAATATAGAACACAATTCAAACGGAAAATTTTAGAATTCAAATAGCAAATTTTAGAATACAAATGGAAAATTAAGCAATACAAATGGAAAAGATCGAATACTGCAACGTTTTACATGCCATACTATTTACATTACCATCCCATGTTCGATAAATGAGTGTTTACGAAATTTCTTTGATTGTATAGGTACAAAATATTCTAGTCAGAACAACTGTCATATTGAATACATTGCAGTTTCCCCCTCTATTACATTCATTTCATTTGCATTGAAATTTTTTTATCTTCAGAAACTAAACACTTAAAGGCAACAAAAAAAAAAAATGAGAATAATAACATGCAATCTATACTGCGGAAAATGCTTCGTCAGGTACATGTATATAGGCATGTCTAATGGCTGATAATCATATAATAGAATAACATACACTGTAATTAGGTAATTTATCAAGAGTGAATAAATTAGCATCAAACTGTTTTTTTTACAGAAAGATATTGTTAAAAATAATTTTTAAAAAATGTATATATATTTTAATTACAGGTCCAGCACCATCTCTTTACTTGGCTACGATATAATAGTATGAAATAGCTAAATAACTTGATTAAACTACTCAAAATACAAAATTTGTATCGTTCAATTCTAGTGCAAGACGTCTGCTTAAAGTAGTCAGTTCAATGACAATATTACAAAATACTAGGATGAGTTTTTATTATTAAATTCCCTGTAGCTCATCCGTTTACGTCTGTTTACGTGACGTCATCGGCGTATGCGTCATCTCAAGCCACGGTCGGAGTCCGCATATAGCTCATGGGAGAGGATCATACATTTTGGCCGTGGTTTGCGACGATGCGGCGTATGTTCATATAATTTAATTTTGTTTGTATTCTAGCCTCTGATTGGTTAATATCCAAAAAGGAACACAAATTATTTCTGTATAACCTGGTTTGGTATGGGGACACACCCCCTTGACAACCAGCTGAATCATCTGTATCCATACAATCCTCTCATTTCCAGTCCTCGGGATTGATGGAAAATTCCAGATTTAATAAATGTACCTTTAATTTCAAACGATAATTCGATCTTACCACATGTAACCAAACAACATGGCTGCTAGGCCTATGTATCAGTTTTTACCTCCCCTCGCTTCCCATCACTTCCGTTACTACGGTTGTATTATTGAGCGGCAAATTAGAACTAATAAAAAGTAACGAAATTTTACACCCATAGTTATTTAATGATTTTAAAATTAAGTTATAAGGAATGACTCTAATTCTTGGCCAAATTATTCGAGCATAACCTGGTTTGGGTCAGTTTACGCTGTTTTATAATCCGCTTCGCGGATTATAAAGCGTAAACTGACCCAAACCAGGTTATACTCGAATAATTTGGCCAAGAATTAGAGTCATTCCTAAAATATACAGAACAATCGGTATATCGGTTATTTTTCGTGTATGTCAACATCACAACTTAAATTTATCCGCCATGTTTACTGACCTTGACCGATTTTATTTTGGGACAACCAATGAGAATTCGGGATCTAGGGGAGCGGATCGTATAGGATTTCCCTTATTTTAAGCATAAATATCACTGTTAATGAAAAAATATCCCATGGAATGCTTTTATTTATCGATATTTAGTGATATCATACAACATAAACATTTATCATCACCGACATTTACTTTATCAAGTGATTCTAAATTTCAAGCGCAAGTCTCAGTACATCATGCGAGAACTGTCATGTATGAGGCGCCGTTTTGGTATTTACTGCCAAAAAGTGATATCACCTATTCGAATAGGTGATATCACCTATTCAATTGGTGATATCACCTATTCGAATAAGTGATATCACCTATTCAGCTTCTGAATAGGTGATATCACCTATTCGAATAGGTGATATCACCTATTCGAATAAGTGATATCACCTTTTCGAATAGGTGATATCACCTATTTGATTTGAATTGGTGATATCACCTATTCGAATAGGTGATATCACTTATTCGAATAGGTGATATCACCAATTCGAATAGGTGATATCACCCATTCAAATAGGTGATATCACTTATTCCTTTTGAATAAGTGATATCACTTATTCGAATAGGTGATATCACCTATTCAAATCAAATAGGTGATATCACCTATTCGAATAGGTGATATCATTCATTCGAATAGGTGATATCACTTAATCATTTTGAATAGGTGATATCACTAATTCGAATAGGTGATATCACCTATTCAAATTATTTTTGAAATAACAACTGCTCCCAAGACTATAGCCTTTAATTCTCATTTACTTTCACTTTCGTTTTATAACTTACCATTCTTGCAGACAATGGATTACAGCTTCGCATTTAGTTTTAAGCACTCCAGTAGAATTTGTTGTTTGTTTTGCTCACAAACTATATTTATTACACTTATCTATCATGTATACTATAGGAAAATTCAAAGGGTTTGTAAGTCTCGTTGACTTTCACTTTCGTTTTATAACTCCCGGGTACCTGAGCGTTCTTGGAGACAATGGATTACTTAAGTTGTAAGCATCGCAGTGGAATTATTAAACTTGTAGTTTGTTTTGATCCCCGATTGTTGCAAAGAAGAGGAGAAAGTGGATTGATAGATGGAGGTAAATAGCGTTTAATTGCTTTATTTTTTCATTACATAACGTAAGCACAAGCTATTCCGAGGGGGGCCAAGATTAGCCAACATACTTAAGCAAAAAGGGAAAATTAAATCGTTTTTATGCTAAAATCGTCTGTATTCAAAAGGTACGCTTACCTACAGATTGGTTTCATAAATTTAAAGCATTGACTTAGCTTACAGTACGTGGTATAATTTGGAGTATTGGACAGGTATACATGAGTTTGGGATATTGAATGCGATGTCATTGAAAGCAAATAAAAAAATAGATGTACCCAAATGCATCGACCATGGGAATACAAAGTTGAATACCACGTCTATAACATATGATCTTTGTAGAAAACACATTCTTTTTTTTCAATTTAATTACTACAATAAATAAAAATGGTCAGCTCATTCTGTAGGCTATAAGCTACCCTGTCTATTCGGAAATAAAAATGGTCACACACACTCAAAAAATAATCATTTTTTATTCTACAAAGAAGAAGGCATTTTTTCATTTACACATACAAACTGTATTAACCGCCAAGTTTCATGATCCCCCCCCCCCCCTTGCCAATACTCCTACAATTATGCGACAGACTTTTTTTCTTGAAATAGGCATTTTTCTCCATTTGTCATTATATATTACAGGGCTGCACAAGGTACTGAAAAAGGGACAGTGCTTTGAGTGAATGTGTTATCCATGTATCTCCAAATGAAGCAGATCCCCCCGTTATTATACTCATGGAGAGTGTGACAACTTCCAACTTCCAAGTTGTTAATGACAGAACTCCATTTAAATCAGGTACAAGTTAAAGTTTAGGCTGTACAATTCTATTTTACAATATTCAAAACTTAATAATTCAGGATCAAGTTCACACAAGCTCACATTCCATGGTTACTTACAGCACCATTATGCTAGATAAATTTGTTATGATACACTTTCATGTTAAATAGTCAAATTTGATTGGCTTAAAAAACATTTGTTAACAAGTACTATTACCTTAC